GGCACCAGACCATTGCATTTGTACACTATTTGTACACAGAGGCTAAAACTAAATTTCAAGAACAAGTAGATTCATTCTTCGTTCAGTGGCAAAAGCTAAATAATTGGTTATCTCAGTCCAAAAAAATTGCAGTGAGATGAGATTTTCTGAGCCTTGTTAATGAATCGAGGCTGATCTCATGTTGATGATTTTGATTAAAAATGTAGGTTAGTTTATAGTGATTAACAGTGAGTTAAGTCTGTAATGCAATTATTTTTAAATATTTGTTTATTTGGTCCTCACAGTAGGCCTGAGAGGGATGGAGGAAACAGACAGAGGAGGCTACCGCTATGGTCTCTGCGGCAGCAGTGACAACACACCGATGCCTAAACTCTTCTTTTTCATCAGCTGACCTTGATGTGAGGCTATGTTCCATTAAGAGGCTAAAAGTAAGTTGGTCTAAAACAGTGCTAGTACTGAAACAATCTAGAGCCACACTCTGATTTTGCTCTAAATCCGCAGCTATCAAGGCCAAAGTGATTCAAAAGCATTATGTGTAAATTTTCAATTGTGACTGTATTAATTTGAATCTGCCTAAATATAATAAACAACATAGCTGCATATATTTTATTATGCTGCTAAAAGATAAATAAGCCATTTTCTCTAAAAAATGAATTTCTATTAGTACATTATTTATTTTTAGAGAGAAAGGAAGGAAGAGAGAGAGAGATTGAAAAACATCAATGGGCTGCCTCATACAGGCTTGTTATCTAGGGTTGAGTCTGCAAGCTGGGCATGGATCCTAACCAAATCAGCAACCTTTGTGTGCAAGAAATGGTGCACAACTTACTGAGCAACACTGGCCAGAGCAAGAAGCTTTTCCTTGTCCTACTCACACTCATCTGGGGTGATATGAGTATCATTTTTTTTTTTTTTTTTTTTGCAGATGATATAGGTTTTTGTGTAGCTGAAAGTACTGGTTATTTTACTTCATGTGTTTATTTTAATGAAACTGTGGTGGAATTACTGTCTTTATGCATATGTCTGTGGTCAGCAAACTGCAGCTCATGAGCCACATGTGACTCTTTGGCCCCTTGCGTGTGGCTCTTCCACAAAATACCACTGCCTTGGCCAGTCTATTTTAAAGAAGTGGCATTAGAAGAAGTTTATAAACTTTGGCTCTTGAAAGACATTTCAATCGTTGTACTGTTGATATTTGGCTCTGTTGACTAATGAGTTTGCCTACCACTGGCATATGTATTTAGAATTCAGAGTTGATCTCTAAATGTTAAGTATATTTGCCATCCTTAAAATGCTAATTTTTCACAGAAAAAAAAAATCTCCTTAACCTACTATGAAAACCAGGTAATGAAGATAAATCAACAAATGCTATTGTTAGTCACTAGAAAAGGAAAATATCAGAAACTCTAACTGAAAAAACATCTAAGAATAGACAGCAAAGATCTTTCAAGCACAGACCCTATAAAAATATTGTGTTTTTTTTTTATAAATAACAAAGGAAATACCTCCATTCTTGAAGTAAATGACTGTGGCACTTCAATACCATTGTGTTCACTCAACAAACTTGATAGTACTTTAATAATGAACATACTGTATTTTTTTTAATGTATTTTTTCAAGTGTACCTCTCTCTAAAACGAATGACTGGGCCTTGACCAATTTGGCTCAGTGGGTAGAACATCAGCCTGCGGACTGAAGGGTCCCAGGTTCAATTCCTGTCAAGGGCATATATGTACCTTAGTTGCAGGCACATCATCAATAGGGGATGTGCAAGAGGCACCTGATCAATGTTTCTCTCCCATCAATGTTTCCACTCTCTATCCCTCTCCCTTCCTCTCTATAAAAAATAAAACATATTTTAAAAATAAATAAATGGGAGTATTTTAAACCATATTAAGACTGTTATTATTGAATCATCAAGTTGTACTGAATAAGCTGTGCAGAGGTTCTCCAGGGGATTTTACAACGATGGTGCTCCAGTCATGCTGAGCAGAGCTCTGTCATTACATGATCATGTAAGGGAGGTTTCTGAAAAGGGTCATAGGTGTACTTGATGACCAAATACCTCACCCCTGGCATGATTTAATTATTTCCTGTCAGCGTTCAGGATTAGTAATGACCATCACAATACCTGTCTAATAAAAAAAAGTGAATAAATCAGATGTTTTGTCCTTTAATTTTTGTTGGTGTCTATTCAAAAGGTATGGATAGCACACAAATGAACAGGTATATGGCTTTTGCTTACCTCTCTCGCTTTTCATTGGCCACTCTTTCAGAACACCTTGGTTCCGTCCTCAATTAATCCAAGGCACAAGCTCCTCCTAGCTCTCGGCCTTTAGACCCATAGCTTCCTCTGCCCACAGTAAACACCCTCAGTTTCACTCTTGGATTTTCTTATGACATGCTAGAGGCCTGGTGCATGAAAATTCATCCACTAGAGGGGAGGTCCATTAGCTTTACCTGCCCCCTATTATAGTCAAGGAGCCCTCAGGGTTGGGAGGCAACCCGGTGATCAGGGGAAGGTGATGCCCCCATCACACCTCTGCTGCTGCCACTGTGGACAGCGCAAGCCTCAGCTGGCCCTGGTTACCTGAACCTTGGGTGGCCCTGGGTGACTAGGCAGCTGCCATTGGTGGTTTGCCTGTGCTTCAGGCCAGCCCTGGGTGGCTGGAGGGCTGAGGGGACTGGGGGACTCCAGAGGCAGGCACCCCAGCGGAGCTGAGGGGACTGGGTGCTGCCATCTTGTGGCTGTGGGCACTTCCATCTTTGAGGGCATGACAGTCAATTAGCATATTCCCTCTTTCTTATATAGGATACTTTCATAGTGGTGCATTTCATTTAGAATAGTTGCAGCAAGTAATTTTTCTAACTCTTCATTTAATGTTTTTGTTTTCTACTGCACTATAAGCAACATGAGTAGGGAATTTGCTTATTTGTCATTGTACCCTTACACTCTTCACAGTGCTTAACCCCTAGTAATTCAGTAAATGTTTTTTGGTTAATGGTACATAATAATATTTCTTCTCTTGTCTCTTTATTCATTTATGCACAGCCCTTCTCCAGATTTCTGAACCTTAGTAGATGCAGAAAAGACCCCAGTACTGAGTCATTGCTCATGTTTACATTTTTTACAATGACTAGTGGAGGGACACTATGTGTGTGTAGACACTGTGTTTAATCTTTAATTTAAAAGTAAAATATTTTGTAAAATAAATTGAGAATTGTCCAGGTGTGATTGTAAAAAATTCAATCCTAAGTGAAAGGTTTCTTTAATGAGAACATACTTAAGACCTAGGGAATATTTATCATGGATCAAGTGTTTTGGAGCTATGCCTTGTAAAGATTATTTGACTGGTATTGGGATTAACCAGATGCAGAATTCTTGACTTCCCTCTACATATGTACATTATAGATGCATATAGCTAGCCAATTGTAAACTACTTTTATAGGGAACTTAGAAATTGCATCATGCAGGAAATTGTTTCTTAGAGTATAAATAAATGTTTGCTTATTCATGGCTATAGTTTGGAGTGCTTGGTGTCATTAAAAATTTCTTGCAATGCTTGAATTAGTTTTTCTTCTTCTGTTCATCCTGTTGGCTACTGAAGTATATTTCTGAAGAGATTTCTGATGTTTAAATAATAAGTGAGAAGCGATATAATTTCACTTAATACTTTATTTTTATTTCTATTATTTTTCAACAGCTTAAGTTTATTACTCTGAAAGCTGCAGTATACTGGGCTATCTGAATAAAACTCAAGATCCAGGTAAGATATTGCCATACAGTCTTCACCAAATAAATATGAAATGCTGGTTAAAACTATACTTAGAAGTATAGTTTGTCAAAAGATTCAATTTTTGAAATGGCAGGCTTAAATTCTTCATCTATGGAATCCATCTATTCTGGAATATGCTCTGGATGTAAACTTTTTAAATTGATAAGTGCTCAGGAAGAAATGTATTTATTCCTTAAAAAAAAAAAAGTCTAAATAAAAGCTATTGTTTTGAATAATATATTTTCTGTAGTGACATTATAAATTATACATCTTTGCAAGCTTGCACTTATACATCTTTGTTTTATTCTTTTATAAGTAAAAAAAAATGATATTCCACCCCAAAATGTCAATAATCTTTAAACTCAATTCTGCAAAAAAATATTTTTATGGTCCCTGTGAACTTATGACAAGGTATATATCTAGGAACAATGCTTCAAAATCTAAACTATGTTCCATTGCTTGCAGTTACCTTGGGTTTTAACTAGATGTGCAAGTTGACTTCTGACCATGGGGCATCTTCTCCATGCATGGTATGGATTGTTGAAGCCATGGCAGAGAACCAGTTCCACAGAAGCAACTTCATGGTCTTCTGAGGAAGATCCATGGCACTGTGGAACAAGAACTATAAATGAGCAATGCCACGGAGACTGGAAATGGGGCTACCAAAATACAGCCTTCAAAAATCAACTCTGAGGGTGGAAAAATCTACAAGAAAAGTTTAAATAAATAGTTTTAATAAAATAAGTTGGGTTATCAAGTTAGAGCACTGATGGATATTCAGTAGAAATGGCACGTGCTCCTTATGGATGTAACAGTTAAAATAGCTATTGATTTCAAGCTCATTAAGTAGATAATCATATAACTGTTATATTAAAAAGCAACAACAACACGTTTTTAATATTTTCCAGAATTAAGAAAACTTGGATGTCTAGAAATGAAAACATTCAAACTCTAGTAATAAAATATTTGGCCTTTAATCATTTTAAATTAAAAATTATGTTTGAAAGCTCCCCTTCCCTCACCCACAGTCACACACAAACGCAGCAATTTTTAATTTTTTTTTATAATGGCCAAAGAAAGGGTTTACATGGATATTTTTATTAATGGAACTCACTTTTAAATTAGTTTTTAGTATGTTGCTAATCCATCCCATTCCTTAAGTCTCTTTCTGTAAATTAGTGTCCTGTAACACGAGGAGAGCTTCCTGTGACCCTTTAGGGATGACCTATTCTGGGCTTAAAGTAGAACAATCTATGAAGTTCGCTCTCTCCTCCTCAGCCATCAGGAATGATAAGGGCATTTCCAGAGGCAAATGATTCTCTTCCTCTTTCTGCTCCTCCTCTTCTAGCCCCTCCTCCTCCTCTTCCATTTCCTCTGCTTCCTCCTCCACCACCACCTCCTCCACCTCTTCCCCCTCCTCTTCATCCTGGGCCTCTGCCTCTTCATCCTCCTCCTCCTCCTCCTCACTCTCCTCTTCCTCACTCTCTTCCTCTTTCCCATCACACTCCTCCTCATCACAGTCATCATCATCATACTTCTCCTCCTCTTCCTCCACCAGCTGTGGGGCCGGGAAATGGTTTTCCTCTTCCTCCAGGGCAGGACTGAAGGCCAGAGAGGGATCCTGCCCAAAGCCGTACAAAGCGTCCTGCAGCTCTGCGTCTTCCTCCTCGCCACTGGGAGGAGGCACGTCGTTCCCACCTTCCTGGGCCTGCTGAGCCCGCAGCGCCTCCTGCTGGCGCTCCAGCTTCTCTTGCTGCTGCATGTCCTCATAGATCTGGTTCATGATGAACTGGGTGGTGTTGCGGGGCGCCTGCAGGCCGGGCGCCCGCCGCCACCCGTACAGGTTGACCGGCTGTAGCAGGGGGCTCGCCTCCTCGGCCAGGCTCTTCGGGGCCGGGCGGCTGGGTTGGCGGCGCAGGCCTCGGCCCCTGCGGCCCCAGCGCTTCTTGCGGACAGGGGCCCTCGCCCAGCCGGGGTTCCAGGGCCCACGCCAGCAGAAGCAGCAGCAGAGGCAGACTGGGTGCAGCCCATACATTCGGGCCACCAGCCCAGGGCTGGGGGGCTCCCGGTACCCCATGGGAGGCGGGCAGCAGGGCCCTCCTCCCCAGCACCCCCAGTTAGAGTACATGCTCCAGTAAGGGCTTTGGGGTGGCTGGAACCAAGGGCCCGGGCCGTACCGTGGCTTCGGCTGCTTCCTCTGGGGCTCCTGCTCAGACTTGGGGCCGTAGTGTTGCCGCCGCTTGTAGACAGGGGTGCCCCTGCGCCTTCGGTGGCAGGAGGACCAGGTGCGACATGGAGTGGAGGATGCCCAGCCGCCGCCCAGGTTCAGAGGGGCCCCCCTTTTATGGAGGGTCTGGGTCATGGCTCAGGGAGCTCCGAGAGGCCTAAGTGGAAGGAAGCGTCCTAACAGCTGTCCTCAAATTGGTCCTGCAGCCTCGTCACCCAGGGTCCCTCCGCACAGCACCACGTGCCTGCCTGGCTGAGAGAGGCCTTACCCTCCAGAGGGACCCCCTTCTCCGCTCGCTCGCTCGCTCACTCGCTCTTCCGTGGAGATCGCTCCTCCTCCGCACCCGGGTGGTCTCGCCCAGGTGGGTTGGGTGGGGCTGGCGCTGTGTGGAGAGGGTGGGGGCAAAAGTGTTGATGCTCACCCCTAAGGGACAGCCCCCCCGCCTCCCCACACACACACCCCATCTCCGCAGGGGGTTCCCGTTACCTCGATGCTCCCTCTCCACGCAGGTGCGTCCCCGCCGGCGTCCTGGCCGGACTGAGGCGGCGCAGGCAACGACAGCCTTTAAATACCGGCGGGCGGCCCGCGTGCCGCGGCGTCCTCGGTTGCCCCGGGCGACAGCCAATTGGAGGCGAGGTCGTGCCTGTGCAGGAGGCTGGGTTCGGGCCAGAACCGGGTGCCCAGTGAACGTTCGCAGGGGGCTTGTGATGCAATTCTAGGGGGGGGGGTGGTGGCTGGGTTTCTGTTGCCCCCTCAGGAGACGCTTGAGGCAGTTTACGCTTCGTGCCAACCACCTCCAGGCGTGGGCACGCAGCCACTGGCCCGTGGGCTGGACGTGGGGCGGGAGAACTGTGTGTTCGTAAACTAATAAACGTATATCCAACCCCTTCCGGGAGAAAGGGGGGTAGGGAGCAAGTTCTCCGTGTCAGAAAAGGGGGCCCCCCTCCTGACCTTATGGTCAGTGCCTACTCTTCCAACCACTGGGCGCCGGGGCTCCTGATCCCTGAGCCGGGGCGGCGGGCGTTTATTGCGTGGCTTATTGTGTGCTGGGCTCACGCACACGGTCCTCATCCCGCCCGTGGCCTGTGAGGTGGGCCTTGTCTCATCCTGGCGGTTTAGGGAACTGAGAGGTTGATTTGCCCAAGGTCATGGGGCTAATGCACTTTAGGGTAATGTTGAAGCTTATGCTCCTTTGACTCCAGAGCCTAAATTCTTAACATCGCATGCTGTACTGCACACCCACCTTCACGCCCGCCTCAAATAGGGTTCTTTACTGCACACCCACCTTCAATTGGGTTCTTACTATTAGCAAAGGAGACCAGTTTGAGAAAGCACTTTGCTGATGGTGACATAGGACGCAAATGTTCGTTGATGTAATCCAGGGGCTCTTGAAAATACAACTAGTATGTATTTCCTTTTGTCCCGTTATTGGCCAGACAGCACATACATTAGGAGCCTTTATGGCATTACGATTAAAGAATGGGGTAAAGAATAAGGGCTTTGCTCTGGCCTGCATGGCTCTGTGGTTAGAGTGTTGGCCTGTGCACGGAGAGTCGTGGGTTCCATTCCTGGTCAAGGGGCATGTACCTGGAGGAACCAATCTCTCTCTCCTTGCTCCTTGGTCTTTGATTTAAGTAGACATAAACTTACTCTGAATGATACAACTTTGTGAATACATGTCATCCTGAATTCTTTCAACTCCATAGAATGCACAATATTAGGAGTGAACTCTAAGGTTAACTATGGGATTTGGGCGACAACTATGTGTCAGTGAAGGCCATCCATGGTAACAAATGTATCAGTCTAGAAGAAAAGTTTATAATGGGGGAGGTGTGAATGAGTGAGGGAGGCAGTATATAGGAAATCTCTGCACCCTGTGCTCAGTTTTGCTTGAACCTAAAACTGCTCCAAATAAATAAATAAATAAATAAATAAATAAATAAATAAATAATAAAATAAAAGGGCTGTTTAAAAGATAGAAGTGGCCGAAACCGATTTGGTTCTGCGAACTGAAAGGTTCCAGGTTCGATTCCGGTCAAGGGCATGTATATTGGTTGCAGGCACATCCCCGGTGGGGGGTGTGCAAGAGGCAGCTGGTCGATGTTTCTCTCTCATCAACATTTCTAGCTCTCTATCTCTCTCCCTTCCTCTCTGTAAAAAATCAATAAAATATATTTAATATAAAAGATAGAAGTGTTTCTACTTCAACTCACAAATCATTAACCTCTGTAAGCTTCCAGTTCTTTACCCAAGCCATGAGTGTAGTTATAGCACCTCTTTCACAGGCTTGTGTAAGGACTAAATAAGATACTGTATTCACTCACTTAGTGCAGGTGCTCAGTTAGCACCCAGTAATCATGGATTGGCATCACTGTCATGTTTGAATACCTTAGGACTTTTAAAGAAGTTGACACAGGGTATGTAAAGATAACCCTGTGTTGTGATGCAAAAATAGGCAACTCCACCCTTGTGTCCTCTTGACACACTTTTTGGAAATATCAAGCAAGTGCTACGGGGCTTGACCCTGGAGAAAACTGTCCCAGAGTATATCCCCTTTGTTACTTTCCTGTGGTGAGTGAAATTGTGCAAAACGGAACACTTCCCGCTAGGAACCTGAGTCTATGTATGCTTCCATAAAATGACAAGAAGCAAATGTGGGAAGCTGGAAGTTTGCAAAGGCTATTCATGCATTCCTGGTTGAAAACGAAGAATGGTTTGGGGGGTTCCTGGATCAGGACTCTAGCCATTGCTTTGGGACTTGTAGATACCACAAGCGTCATTCAATTTTATTTGCCCTGTGGTTTGCTGAAGACAAGCCTGCTTGACTCCAAGTGCAGAGTGCTGACACGTTTAGCCTCCAGTGCCCCTTTCTGGATGTAGAATCAAACATTTGACAGTTACTCTCTCCCTGCTCTGCTTAACAAAAAGCAGACTGGTGATAGTTCAGGTTTATTTTTCTAAGGACATGTGTCATATACAATACTAGGGGCCCAGTGCATGAATTCATGCACCTTGAAAGGAATTGTGGGCCACAAGGCTGCAATGGGCACAGGGGCAAGTCTTGTCCCATCCTCCAAGTCCCCTCCTGGACCTTCCTGCAACGGCCCCTAGTTCCCTGTCTGCTGGTAGCCCTACATGTTCCCACCCCTACATGCTGACAGCTCCAATGCTGCTCCTATCCCGTGACAGTGCAAAGTGATTGGGGCCGGCACCAGGAGCAGGTGCGAGCAGGGCCGGTGCCATCAGTGAGTGTGAGCAGTGGCTCCAGTGCCAGCAGTGGGTGTGAGCTGGGCTGGCACTGGCAACAGGTGCAAATACCCAGCAGGACCACAGCCTGGGGGGTGGGGGATCAAAGAATTTTCAGTAACTACCAGAGGCTTGCTCTAGATGACAACAACTGGTAACCTGCTTGGTCTGGCAGTCCTGTTCCGCTGCTCCACTGTGGCCGATGCCTGCCATGTTCAGCACTCTGCCACCTGCTGCCAACACCCGCCAGGTTCCATGTGCACCCCGATGGTCAGCACACGTCATAATGACTGGTTGTCCGGTTGTTTGGTTGTCCTGCCATTCAGTCTATTTAAATATTAAATTATATATATATATTAAAACTATATATATATATATATATATATATATATATATATATATATATAGTTTTAATAGAGAGCTTTAGAAATTTACCATGTTGCTAGAGTGGAAATCCCATCAGTTTCTTCTTTGTTTGAAAATAGACGATTAACTGACAGGTAATTAAAGACATTATTTTTTGATCAGTTGATGTGAACTTTATTCAAATAATACTAGCTTTATATACTTTTTGCATCATGATATATATATATATATATATATATATATATATATATTCATCTATTAAAAACATTAGCACATTATTGTCTCACCCCACTCTTCTCTGGTAAAAGAAGCATCAAATTACAATTTATGATTTTTAGTTTTTTGAATATATTGGCGTTATAATACAAATTGTTCATGTACTGGTTAATTATCCAAGAAAATTAATATCAGAATGCATAAAACACATCCTTCACTAATACAATTAAGGAATTTTAAAGACATATTTTAATTGAACCCTATTCTTTAAACACTGCAAAATGAAATGGTCTGATTCAATATTAAAATACAACACATTTACCATGTTTTTATATATGGCATTAATTTTCTATTACTTAACAGAAAATCCCCACAATCTTAGTTCCTTAAAACAACATACATTTGTTTTCTCGGACTTTCCAAGAATCCTGGGTCCAGGAACAGCTGCCTACCTGTATCCTTTCCTTAGGGTCTCACTAGGCTGTGATCAAGGCATCTGGCACTTTGTGTTTTCATCTTAGGACTCAATTTGAGAAAATCTGCTCTCAAGAGTATTTTTATTATTGGCAGAATTTATTTTCTTGTGGCTAAATAACTGAGAGTCCCGCCTCTTAGCCTTCTGTTGACTGGAGGATGTCTTCAGGTTTAAAGGGAACAACTGTAGTTTCTAGAGGCTACCCACTGACCCTTGCTATCACCTTCCTCAACACAGCCACTTACTCCATCAAGATAGCAAAGAGGATCTCCCTAGAGGCGTCTAGCATAATAAATGCAATCGTGCACACATGTACACACACACACACACACACACACACGTATGTATCAAAACCATGGGCTTGACATTTGTGACATCCATCAACTTTTCCATATTCTGTTGGTTAGAAGCAAGGATTAAACAAAAGAATGAACACTGAGAGGCTGGAAATAATTTGAAGACAACTTGGAGTCTCTTTGCCATATATATCCAGTAAAGTTAGCAACATACAGCCTTCATAGTAATTAGTTACTACTTTATTTAGCAGATTTTACATTGTTGCATTTGAAATTCTGGTAAGTACCATATAATGGCATTGTTTTGCTATGCTTTATGTTGTGAAGAGCATTGTGTTATTAAGTTGAAAATGCCACGCAATCTTGTGCATTTGTGTTACTTACATGAATTCTAACACTTGATGGCAGTAGTAACTCATTCAATATTCAGTCAGCAGGAGTCCCTGTACAAAACAAGCTATGAGAAGTTAGAAACTTTTAAAAAATATATTTTATTAAACATACCATATTAAACTATCCAAGGTTGCCAATATTAT